ACCAGTGTGTCTCATAATCATGGGCACAGTCCTGAACCTCATTACCTTGAAAGTGGATTCCCTGTTTGCATGCTATGTTGTGTGGAATTCTGTGCTAGTGGAACAGGTACTCTATACACCCCAGATAGTGGTGCTTCCTGAAGCTCTGTGGGCAAGACAGGGAAACTCATACCCTGAATAGGTGTCTAATCTTGTGAGAATGAAGCACTGACTGTTCTAGGATAGAAGCTTCCTAGTGTAGTCAACTTGCCACCAAGTAGCTGGTTGATCTGATCTTGAAAACAGTGCCCTGTCAATGGAGTGATGGACTCTATTGCTGACAGGTTGGACTTTCAAGCGTGGCAGTAGCTCTAAGAGCCTTGGTAAGTGGAAATCTGGGCTGTTGGGCTTATGCTTAATCTTCACCTCTGCATTTGTGTGCCTGTTGTGTCAGTTACCAAGGGTGCTAACTTCTGAGTTATTTTGACTACTTGTTTAGTACCTTTTCTACAATGGATAAATTCTGGTGAGCATTCATATCTAATGCAAAAAAATTTTGCACTTTGTGCACGTACCTATATGTCCATCCATAATTATACAGTATGTATAATTATGTACGCTTTGTGTCCAGCTTCTTTTGTCGTTGAGATCATTTTTGTAATCTTCCTCATCAGGTCTCTAAAAATTATAAAAATCCCTAGTCACTGGATAATCTGCTTTGATTAACAAAATAGAAGCGACCATTCTGTTTTATTTCAATACAGCTAGCATTGGAATACTGTGATCACTAGGGTGCACTATAGCTTTACTACCCAGTTAGTCTTCCTGGCAGTAGAGCCAAAAAATCACAGAAAGCTAGCTGTCCGGTGTTTGAAGTAGCTAGCTAATCACTGAACCAGACTGAAAGTCTCTAAACTTTTTTCAGACTGTTGCAGGCACACATCAGAAACACAACATTATCTCATCAGCTTCTCATTTGAAAATTGTGAATTACAACAGTAATATGTTAATGAATGACCTTTCAATAAAGATAAATCTTAAAAGACTGAGTGAATATGTAAAATTCACTGTTCTAATAGAATAAAATTTGCAAAATGTTAACATTTTAATGGTATAGTTGTTATGTATTTCACAAAAGTTAGGCATAAATAGGAAGTAAATCAAGAAATAACTATAATTAGCATTACTTTTGTAAATGCAAACTTTTAGTTTATTTTCAAACATTACTAGTTCAAATCAGTGTCCGTCTTCTCTCATAGTAAGGTCTATTTTAATAATCATCAAACACAAATTGATATTCAATAAGTTAGACCATAGACTCACATACCCAAAATTGAGATTACTTCCTCCCCTTCCCCGGTTTCTTTTACCTTATTTTGTTTGAAACTTCTTTTATTAGAAATAAAGGATGAAGTTTTTAAAAACACACTTAAGGTAGTTAACATATTTGGTATGAATGCATTTCTGTCAGAAGAGGTCAAGCTCTCAGAGGACCCCAACGATTTGGCCTGCAAGGGATACTTTGCTGACTGACCCCTGTTCTAGAGCATCTGTATATGTTACATAATATGCTTGATTGCAGTTCATTGTAATAGAATTTACATATTTGCTAATCCATTGTGAAGCCCTTGAGGACAAGAACTGACTTTATTCATATTTGTTTTTTTCAGTGCCTAGCTGAGTAGTTGGCATTAATAGGCTCTATATTTTTTTGTTTAGTAAATTAGCTAATATTCAAATAGAAAACTGGTTAGATTGATAAAAAATGAAATAGCATTGTTTGCTGGTTTTTGGAGCAGTTGAGTACTAGTTCACTATTGGGGTTTATGATTCAAAGGACTGCAGTGTTTTAAAACAGCTTTACTGAGATATAATACACATACCATACAGTCCACCCAGTTAAAATGTACAATTCTGAGATTTTTTAATTGAGCTATAATTGACAGAACACATATTATTTTCAGGTGTACAACATGAAATTTGCTTTTAAAGAGGGAGATGGAAAGCAAGAGGAGTCTCTTTTCCTTGAGTTGCACACTAGTTCATACTGTGCTATTGTCCCAATAATTATGAAAGGAACCCATCCAGATCATTTCCTCTTCGGATTAGGGGAAGATTCGAAAGTAGTACATCATTGGATATCTAAAGACAGCTGGAGGAGGCCACAAATGGAGAAAAAGGGATTCTCCAATATGTTCTTTATTCTGATAGGAGAAAAGCTGTGTTGAAAGGGGCATTATATTCTGTATTGGGACTCAGTATAAATCTGAACTTCGCTCATTATCCTTGAATATACTCTAAGACCTATCCTAGGATCAGAGTCTCATTCTTTCAGACTTAGTCTGAAAGCAACAGTAAATATTTATTATATCACATAGTTTCTGAAGGTCTGGATTTGGGGAGTGGCTTAGCTGGGTGATTATGGCTTAGGGTATCTCTCAGAAGGTGGCAGTCAAGATGCCAACTGGGCCTGCCATCTTCTGAAGGCTTGCCAGGGGCTGGAGGATCTATTTCCAAGAATGACTCACAAACATGGCTGGCAAGCTGGTGCTAATTAATTGGTGTAATCCCTCAATTCCTTGCCAGGTGCCCACTCCAAGGGACTGCTTGAGTACCCTCATGTTACGGCACTGGTTTCCCTCTAAGTAAGTGATCCAAGAGAGCATAAAGTGGAAGCTACAAAGTCTTTTATGACCTAGCCTTGGAATTTGCACACCATAATTTTGAAAAAGCTTATCATTTACACAGGTCAGCCCAATTCAGTATGGGAGAGACTATTGTGTAGGGAGAAGATATTAGGAGCCAGGTATCATTGAAGGACATCTTATTTGTTTTTTAATATAATATACTATATATATGTATGTATTTCAAGGAAGATTCCTGAATTCAGGTACCAGCTCTTGAATAATATATTACTTTTCCATTTATCATAACTGAAAAAAAAAAAATAGCTCTTGGGACAAACCAATAATTCTTAAACAGAAAAGTCCAGAGAAAATAGAGGCCTGGGAAGCTGTTTTTCTTGGGCAGTCCAAATATCCCGGGATTCCTACTCCTGTGGCATTAACTTTCACAGTATATTCATTCTTATACTTCCCCTACCCTGAGATACACTGTTGCCCTATTCTCCAGATATTCATCACAGAACACTTCCTTCTGTACTTTTTTTCACCTCTTTCTTGACATACAACTACTGGACTGCTTTCTCACTCTATCTTATCCTTCATGGATTTGCATATGAGAGTTTGTCATGAAATAACAATCAGAAAAATAATCATCTTTCCATCATTTGGAGAATCTAGCTGTACCTACTGACTCATTTAAAACAAACACAATAGTAGTTCAACAAATTTATTAAAACCCTTACTCCTAATAGCAGTGATTATATTTGGGTAGCTGGAAGAGGACACATTATATTTGCTAAGTGAGTGAAAAATATTCTCTTTAAATAGAGAATAGCTATTTGAAATATTACTAGGCATATTGTCACTGAATCTGGACTTTTTCCCCTATAAACTTAATTTTAAGGAAAAGTATTTACAGAAACTCTAATCCTTTCCAATTCAAATTGCTTGCCCAGTCAATACTCTGAAATGAACTATATTGTTAAAGTAATGGAAAAATCAACTTGTGGTTTTAATCAGTGGAAAGAAAATTTGGCAACTTCAAGTTTGGATAGAACAAGATGAGCTGCATCGTGACTACTTTAATGTACATTTTGTCCTGCTTTTTATCCAAGCATCTAGACATGACAGACAGTAGAGGTGCCTGCTGTTTTTTAAATAATGTCAAGAGGCTGTGGCATTTCCTGAACAAGAAGAAACAGTTCTGAGATTGAATATAGGATTCATATTTAACCCTTCTATATTCTTAATCAGCTTTAATCATAATGTCACTTAAGTGAAGAAAAAGATTTTAAGTAAAATGAAGTTGTGAATTCATTGCATCCTTTCAGTTCATGGCAGACTCCTGGGAGTCATTGTGATTATTCAGTAAAAAAGCATTGAACACGGGAGGTTCAAGAGAGCTGAGTTTTGGTTCTGTCACTAATTAGTTTTCTAGCCTTGGGAAAGCTCTTTAACCTCTTCGGGTTTTTACTTCTGTAAATTGGTGGGTAAAGATAGGGGGACTGGTTTAATCTTAGTTTCCTCTCCACCAGAGCTTGACACAATTAACACCAAATACAAATTCATCGCACACAGCCTCATTGCTCCGCCTTCCTTGCTTGCTTTTGAAAGTCTTCGAGGGACTCCCGCATTCTCTTGCTTAGAATCCCATTCTGGTGCTCGGCAGGAGGGGAGGGGGGTTGCTCATTGAACCTTTGGCTGGTGGTGTTTAAACAGGAATGGAATCTCGTCCTTCGTGGGTTGTGAAAAGCGTACGGATACTCCCGCTCCAGGCTGACATTTCTTCCCAGAGTCTTGGTCTCCTTTCAGCCTACACCTCAAGGCCTTGCCCCAGTACCCACCAGCGATTAGCTTCGCGTTAGGAAGTTCTGGGGACAGCGTCAATTTGCCAGATTCTGGCAGCTCCGGTTCTTTGGAAGAGGCATGGCAGGGCCTTACAATTCGGGGCCCTTCTTCGCGACTACCTCAAAGTATGTAAACAAAGCATTTCTGATTTTCTTCCGAAAAGCCCAACCCTGGGGTCACAACCACGCTTCTATAACCAAGTGACAGCACACCACTGTGCGCCAACCACTAATCTCGGAAGCCCTACTTCTTGGTTCGGGACCCACCAGCAGCTGCGGCTGCGGCTGGAACTACGAGGCCCAGAATCCCCGCGCGCATGCGCGCTGCCTTTGTGACGCTCGTTTCCCGGTAATTCGCCCTCTCAGGCAAACCTGAAGATAGCGGCAATTCTCCGGTGGGGGGCGGAGACGCTCTCTGCCTGACTCTCCGCCCCCTTCGTGATAGGCAATGGGACCAGCCAACCGACGTGGCGGGCTCGTGACGCGCTCTCCAATCAGCACCTGTGGCGGAGAGGTGGGCGTGCGCACTGGCAGGGCAGGTGGGCTAGGCTGTGCCGGGTTGCGAAGGGGGAGAATAACGTCGGGTCGGGTCAGCGGGCGCTGCAGTAGTCGCCGCAGCGGCGATGGGAGCGGTGGGAACGAGGCGGCGGCGGCGGCGGCAGGAGGAGGAGCAGGGGCTGGCACAAGAGCAGCGGCTGGGGGCGGCCAGCAGCAGCAGTAACAGCAGCAGCTGCCGCCGCCGCCGCCAGTAAACGCGGACGGTACCCGAGGGGACTACCCAGACAGCCGGCCCTCGAAGCCGCGCTCGGGTCCCGCCGCACTTCGCGGCGGGGGATGGGCGGGCGGTGGCGGTCCCGCCTGCTGAGAGTCGACCCCTACGGGTCCCGGCCCTGAGCTGGACGCGAGCCCTCGGTCCGAAGTCCCTGCGTCCGCCCTGGCCCAGGTAGGACACACCCCCCCGAACCCCTAGGGCGCCGCCGGGGGAGCCCTGGGCCCCGCCCTCCCTAGTTCTGTCCCCCTCCTCCGGCTCCACCTCTCGCCCAGTGACCGACCTGGTGCGGAGGGGAGGGGTACGGGAGATTCCTCCATAGCTGCCCACGCCCTGGGCTTGTGCCAGACCCAGTCACTCCACCGCGGAGACCGTCTCCCTCTCCCCGGTTTCCCCCAAGGCTTGCGCCCCGTTCCCTCAGAGGCTTTTGGTGTCTTCACCGAACTTGGAGGGTCACGAAGCTTCATTCTGATCCTCTTTCTGTGGGTGACCCACATATCACTTATATTCATGCTGCTTCTGGTACCAGGACCGAGCTCAGAGTATTCTCAGGCTATATTGAACGCTTCTTTCCTACCCCGCCTCCACGAATATAATAGAAAGGGGCATGGAAGTATAGAATCTGTTTGCTGGGTTGCAGCGAGAAGGAAAGCCGTGACTTTCTGTTACTTAGGATGCGAAGTAATGACCTGAGGGATTTGCTTGTCATTTGCTTTCACTAAGATGATGTTGACACCTCGTGTTACTGTGGGAGGGACAAAAGACTCCACACATATGTACTGTCAAATCAGAAGTAAATAATCCATTAAGATGCCAGTATACTTTATCCCACAGTGAAGTTAATTTTCTTTCAGTCGTGGCTGCATTAGAGGTAAAAATGACATTGAGTTGTACTTTGCTCAGAATTAAAGTTGATAGGTGGCAGCAATCCCAGTGTTAACTCTTCTCGTCTCTAGCTTTAGAAATTGTTTTTTTCTTTGAACATTAACGAGGGAAATTTTATTGTAAATTGTGTATTATGTAAAGGTGATTTCGTATTAAATAGAAATTGATATTTTGTATGCATGTTGGAGGATCGCATTATTATGAATGGGCACATGTACACACACACACACACACACACACGCGCGCGGAGGATTCCACTCAATGTGTTTTGTTACAGTGTTTGGTTCTGAGCCATTGATAACAGTTGCATTGGTTTCTAAAACACTGATTTGCTAGGATAGACCACAAAGATGTGTTTGCTGTTTCCTTTAGGGTAAATGGAATAGGGTAACGTTCATTTGGGGGTGGGGAGTAGGGGAGAGATGGAAAATTGATTTTAAAGTATTGAGGGAATTGAATGCTATGTGTTTCTTTTTTTTTTTAATCAAGAAGCAGCGATGATGACAAATACTACTTAATATGATTAAATCTTGAATTCATCTTAACTCTAAAAAAATTTCAAATAATGAGTATGTGGACTTTGATGGCATATTGTGATCTATTCAAATTGAAAACAAACTGAAAGGAATTTTTAATTTAGAAGCTTATGTTTTCCTGTATGACACATTTTTATCAAGGCACTGAAAGGGATGTTTGAAGCATAGTTAAAAGAAGTTTCTCTAACACTTTCCCTTTATGATAGAATGCTAGGAAATAGGAAATACTTTTTCTTCTTTCAGTGTTAGCCACACAAAAGAAATTGAAGTCCCTAGTCACATTTAATTTATAATATCAAATTGAAACAAATTTGATCTTTAGTAGGGGGTTAATAATAATGTATCTTACTTATTATCTTGTACTGTAGTTAATACATAATTTAGTGAATTCTCTATTTTACTATATGTGATTTCAGATTTTTGTGTCTTCTTTTGACTTTCTTTTAAATACTGATGATTTTAATGCCTCAAGAAAACTTCATCATATTAGGCTCATTTGCTTTAACAAATTAATTCAATTACATAAGGCTTCAAATACCTTTAAATGTAGTGTTAGAAGTGAAGTTTGTATAATTTAGACTACTTTTGAGGGTATTTTACATAAAAAAAATGTGCTAAAATGTGACAGTGATAGATTGTTGGCTTTTCAATGTAAACGAATGTTACAGAGCTGAGTTTGCTATGATCATAGAATTTAAATATAACTTTGGTAGGGAGCAGGCAATTCTGTATAAGTGTTGTAACTTCAGAAAGTAATACATAGGCGTGACAACTTGATTATAACTCTTTGGAGACTTTGGACTGGAACCACTTAACTAAGGCACTTTCAGTGGTTCCTAATCCTCAGAAACTGTGAGATAATGTTTGTTGCCTTAAAAAAAAAGGCAATATGTAACAAGGGAAAATGTTTAATGACCTTTATTGAGCTAGTGGAAGCTGAATTGATTAGCAAAATAAAACAGCCTTTAAAAATGAGTGGGTAATATGGCTTACTTCCTTCCCCACTTAAAAAAAATCTTCTACACATAATAATGCAATTGAGTCGGAAAATGAAAAAATCTTCTATAGAAAAACTCTTTTATAGATATGTGGCAAACTATCTTTACAATTTGAGCTCATGCTACTCAAATTACTCTAGTCATGTTTTCTTTTGCTATTTTTGAGTTTTTTGAGCTATATTAATATATCTAGAACTATGTCAGTTTATTTGGTGATATTGTAGGACAACTTCAATATTTATAGATTTTTAAACTTTTATACTGTTTTGGTTCCTTGTCATACTCTGTTGTTGTCCAGTGTATTGTAAATATAGTAATGGTCATGGTAGATTCTCCCCGCCCCCAGGCATTAGTATATAGAATCCTTGTGTTATAAATACTTTTACAGCTTTTTTTTTCTTCACTATATAATAATAATAATAATAATTGTTATTTTTTTAACCACCTATAGCACCTGGTATTCCTAGGTGGTCTCCCATACAAGTACTAACCAGGCCAGACTCTGCTTAGCTTCTGAGATCAGACGAGATCGGGCTCATTCAGGGTGGCATGGCTGTAGACTATAATTATTTTTTAATGTCCAGAGTTTATCATACGAGGGCCAGAGTTTTCTTCCAGACTCAAGTTTATAAATTCTCAGTTGGTTTGTGAGGCCTGCAGGGATACTTCTTGCTTAATTTGGTTTCTGAGAAGACTTCATTCAAGTCCTCAGTAGTCATCTGATCAAGTGGAATTATGTTTTTCATCTTCTCCAGCTCTTTCTCGTAGTGCTCAATCTTAGCCTTTGCGAGAGACAAAAACTCGGCACAACTTTTCACATCTTCTTTTTCTTCAGCATTATTGACCTAGGGCACTATATTTATCCTCTGGCAAAGGAACCTTCAGGGCACTGAACTTTTTCTCAAAGTCATCTACCAAGCCAACCTTGGCTACATTTGCCTTATAGTAAGCCCAGTCGATAGTAGGTAGATTTTCAGGTAGAGTAGCCAACCTGGAGGTGAGGGTCTCATTTCAGGATTTCAGGGAGTTAGCAATGGCTTTCTGGTTTGGGGGTATGATCTCCCCAAAAGCTACCTACTCAATAGCTTTTAGAGCAAGTTTTTGCCCAGCCATCTTGAGATCCTTCACCGACCCCAACGGCCCATAGTCTTAGTAAGGCTGTAAATACTCAGTGCTCTCTGGTTAAATATTATACTTGCATATTTGATAAAAGAGCCTTTAAGTCTATATGAAAAAGTTGAGGTTTTTAGAGCTAAATTTTGAGCATATTACCACTCAAGTTTCTGTCCTTAATATCTGGTGATCCTTGATTGTAATTTAAAATACAGATTGAAATTACATTATTTACATAATGTGAATGTCGGTTTTGCCAGAAAATTTTCTCTTTTAAACAGGTGATTTTTAAGCAGACTTTTTGGTATATTTTCATTTATGTTACATAACTTTAAACGTAATGATTCTTGTCTTTGTGATTATTTTATATGTTCTTGATAGTTAATTGAACATATAGTACTTATGAACTTTTGTAAATATTTTGAATTTTTTTTCTGTGACTTTTTTTAAACCTTTTTATGTAAGATCCTTGATGTTTTGGGATGTTGATAGCTGCTTTTTATTTCATGAAGTAATTTGCTTTTACTTCAATTAGAGTGAAGCTTTTCAAGGTAAAAAATTAAGTGTTGTTTGAAAAGAATCTGGAGTGTTGTAGTGTCTTGTGAAAAACGGGAGGTTGTAGCTTCTTTAAAACGTGGTAGATTTAATCTAACCATATTTTAAAATTTAGTTTTTTTTAAACAAAGAATTTGCATCTTTATTGAAAATAAGAATCAGTATTTTTTAATGTTTGAATTAGAAAACCTTTTTGCCGTTATATCTGTTTTTACCAAAATGCTTTTCTCGTTATATTTATACTTTTTTTTTCTTTCTGCAGTTTCAGGTAACTGCCTTAAAACAAAAATCTTTTTTTGCATTGTTTCTCTTGTTCTAGCCATATGATGATTTGAATACTGTATCTTGTTCATATCGGTCTTACATCGTTTTCCACATGTATTATGTATTATGGATTGTTTGGAAAGCTCTCTCTTTTTTTGCTCTTGATCCACTAAATGCCTCAGTTTCTAAAATATCTCAAAAATGGTTTTATCAACATTTTTCAGTGACGAATAAGGCAGAAATGAATAGGAAAAAAAATGAGTGAAGAGAAAATTGTGAGCCTTGCCTCTCGTGAAATTTGATTTGAAAAAATCATCTGGAAGCTAACTCACATGATAGTAAATGAGATTAGGACTTCATTTCTGCTACTTGCCTAATACTTGAAAAATTCATCATGTCCAAGACAAAAGTCAGCCGTCTTTTAATTCTATAAGTGAAAGTATCAGTATTTAATCAGTCACCTAACCTCTAAAATCTCATTTCTTTATTTTTTGAGTTTCCTCTTTTCCTTGGTTCTACCAGCATAAAACCTCTCCTTTTCATTTCCACTGCTATCATTTTAACCTAGCCTCTCTGACCCTCACTGAGAGCTGTTGCAATAGACTCATCTATTTATTTATTAAATATGTGTTAAACATCTACGATGTTACTATGCTAGAGATTCAGCAGTGAGCAAGATAGAAATGACCTCACTTTTGGAGCTTACAATACAGTGGGAGCAGACAATTGTAGAACAAAGAATTACAAGGGTTCTAAGTATCATGAAAACAAAATGTAGACTACCACATAGGAAGCGGGTTCAGGGAAATAGTCTTCTGTTTTA